AGGGGGGGGGAGATGGGCGGTATATAAATCATATTCATGGGACTGCTGACACTAAGGTTTTGAGGGTGGTTTTTGAAAAAACAAGAATTGATCCCCATTAGTATGACAGGAAACGACCCCAGATTTATCACTGACTCAAACCAAAAATATACATTTTCTCTTGGGAGGGATAGATCAGGAAAGAGAGAAAATAGCGAAAGGGACACGGCGTGTTCTACGCTGGTACCTCTGCCTTTTTTAAATTGAACATAATCTATCCACATACCCAACTCTCCACAGAGAGAAATGCGTCTTTTTACTATTTTTCAGACACACTATTCACCCCATCCTGCCTTTTTTCTAAAGTGATTTCACACCAATTTGTTATGTTTATTCAATAAGGCTGCAAAGCACGGACAATACTTTCGATGTTTTTCAAGCTTCGTTATGGATGGACAGTCTTAGATAGGCTTAGTTCTTTTCAGTGGTCTCTCTTGCTTTCTGATGAAGAAGCAGAGACACATGGGTAGACAGACAGAATGACAGACGGGCCCACAGACAGACAAATAAAGAGACTGGCAGAACTTTCAAGACATAAGGATCTGTACACCTTGAAAGGGAAAAAGACGAAATTGTCACCAGTCGTGAATGTTCTAGCTCAGACAAGACCAGCCAAATTAATCCTTTTTTGTTGTTGCTGTTTTTGAAAAGGTTAATAACAATTCAAATTTTACTTAATTGCTCCTTATTCTATTTTTTTAAATACGGGAAACGAGTTGAAACAATGCCAAAGAAATTTAGTTATTCGATCAGTTTTTAGATCCCTATAAAGTTGTGTATAAGTTAACCTCGTGGGGTTTGACAATTTTATTTACCTTCTATTTACGTGATTTCCTGATTATGCCTGTCTTCACCAGAAATCCGAACTAAAAGTAAAAACGTTTACTGTGAACTCACCACAAAATAAACCGACAAAAATAAAACAACTGAAAATGGGTCAGTCGCGGGTGCTCTCGTGTGGTTTGCTTTTTCTTTCCTATCAAACATCTGTCGTCGTTATCTCCCCTTCTTCTTTTTTATGTTTGTTACTCTCTTGTAACACCTCTAATCTTCTGGCGCTCATATGACATTATGCAGTTGCGAGCGTCGTAAAACCTCTACTAAAACTAAAACTAAAACCAACAAAACAATGGCTTTTCGCGAGTTGGGTCCTGAAAGCTTATGGGCGAAAGAAATGTTAAGAAAGGAAAGTCAGCACAGAAAGTTAGAAAAGAGAGTCTGGAAAATAACACAAAACGGCAACCTTTTGTCAAAGGGCAGTTGAGATGGTGTCGTATGCTACGATAGGGGGCAATTAGGTGAGTCAGGAGCTAAGGAACAGCGATAATATCGTGGCATGGGTATCTATTGGTACAGGTTAGTTCAGGTGAAACAGGTAATGATGTGGGCGTCTGTGAGGGGAGGGGAATTAGTTAGAGGGGGTGGGGGCGGGGATATACGTATTTTTATATCTTCAAATTATCTAT